GCTATAGGCGCCGAGCCTATTTTTTGTTTTATTAAATCATAGCTGTGTACATTAATGCAATCATGGGGTACAATGTGCTGGTTTTATTTACAATTTGAAATATTTTCATCAAATTAATGTAGCCTTCACGGCATTTTCTTAGTCACTGTGTTAAGACATTTATATTCTACACTTAGTAAATTTCACATGTACCCTTGTAAGATGCACCATAGGTGTGGTTCCCACCGATTACCCTCCTTCTCCTTTTCCTCCCCAAAATATCTATTGATCACCTAATCTTGTATGAGGAACTGCTATACACACTAGGGATATTATCAGTTAAAAAAAAATAAAATAAAAAGGTACTTATTATGGACTATTTTTATCAGGAAGGGCTTTGAAATGTAGGTTACATTGTATTTAAATAATCACCATAAATAGTAGATCCATTTATTTATATTGAGTCCTTTCAAATTATTTTTACTTAAATTTAATTTTTTACTTTTTTTCTTTTAGAGTTTCATTTTGTAGCCCTCAGTAGAGTGTTGTGCTATCACAGCTCACAGCAACCTCAAACTCTTGGGCTTAAGCTATTCTCTTGCCTCAACTTCCCAAGTAGCTACAACTATAGGCACTTGCCATAATGCCCAGCTATTTTTTTGAGATTGGATTTCACTCTGGCTCAGGCAATCCACCCGCCTCGGCTTCCCAAGTGCTAGGATTATAGGCATGAGCCACTGTGGCCGGCCTGATTTTATACTTTTCATTTACTTATTTATTTTTTGAGACAGAGTCTTACTTTGTTTCTCTGGGTAGGATGCCATGGCATAATAGCTCACAGCAACCTCAAACTCTTGGGCTTAAGCGATTCTCTTGCTTCAGTTTCCTAAGTAGCTGGGACTCCAGGCACCCACCACAAGGCCCAGCTGTTTTTCTTTTGTTGTCATTGTTGTGTAGCAGGCCTGGGTGCTGGCTGAGCCACTAATTTTATACAATTTTTAAAGTTTTTTTTTTTTTTTTTTTTTTGAGACAGAGCCTCAAGCTATCCCCTTGCGTAGAGTGCGATGGCATCACAGCTCATAGCAACCTCCAACTTCTGGGCTCAAGCGAGTCTCCTGCCTCAGCCTCCCAACTAGCTGGGACCACAGGTGCCCGCCACAACGCCTGGCCATTTTTTAGTTGGAGCCATGATTGTTGTTTGGTGGGCCCGGGCTGGGGATTCGAACCCGCCACCTTAGGTGTATGTGGCTGGCGCCTTAGCCGCTTGAGCCACAGGCTCCGAGCCCAATTTTTAAAGTTTTAAGGACAATGGCTATATGTGAAAAATTTTCTAACATCTTGTATTGTCAAAGATTTCTATTTCATGTTTTATCATTTATAAAACATCTCCTGTGACATATTTCTTCTAGTCTCTTGTGTTAGCAAAGTTTGTTTCATTAGACAAATTGTGTGCATGTGTGTGTGTATGTATATACACATATATGCGTGGGGTTAGTGGTGATAGTGGAATTTGAATTATCTTGAGTTTTGAGGGAGCATAAAAAAGATGTGTCCTCCCCGACTCCCAGTTCTGTTTCTCCATCTTCCTATTTGGTGTGAGTCACTGATTTAATGAACCACTATTATTAATGGGAAGTCACAGTAACTCTAGGTATAGTGGGACAGAAAGGAAGCTGGGAGCACTGGCCTAGAGGAACTCACACACTGCTGTTGTCCGTAGTCAGAACTGTGTAATCTATCATGGTTCTCTTTTCATCTTAGCTGCTAAGAAGCTCAACAATAATAGCAATATAGGTTTCTGATACAAATAAAAATAAAGTGGAGAAATAAGATATGAAAATAGTTATTTAGTTCTTTCTGTTTATAAAAACACATATCTGAGAGGGAGGGTAGTGATAAGGAGTTGGTGTTCAATGGGTACAGAGTTATAGTTTGTTTATATTTTTGGATACTCTTAGACTTATAAAAGATTATAAACATTTAAGAAATCTCGTGTTACTGGGCTCATTGGCTCACACCTGTAATCCCAGCACTCTGGGAGGCCAAGGTGGGAGGATAGCTTGAGCTCAGGAATTGGAACCAACCATGTCTACTAAAAATAAAAAAACTAGCCAGGTGTTGTGGCGGGCACCTGTAGTCCTAGCTACTTGGGAGGCTGAGGCAAGAGGATCACTTGAGCCTAAAAGTTTGAGGTTGCTATGAGCTATGATGCCATGGCACTTTACCTAGGGTGACAGAGTGAGACTGTCTCAAAAAGATAAAAAATAAAAAATCTTTTGTCTAGATATATATTACTTTATTTTACTTTAGAAAGGTTATAACAATTCATAATTTTTAAAGATTCCTTAAGACCTTTATTAACAGGTGCTTACAGTTTGTTGACTTTTCTGAAAAAATCAAGTTGTAAACTTTTATTACAAATTAAAAATGAAGTTCTTAAAAATCTCAACTTGACCAGATATGAAACAATTTAAAAACCTTTAAAGGTGTATTGAGAAAAACCAGGCTTTTTTAAAAAACACGTTTGTTGGGCGGCACCTGTGGCTCAAGGAGTCGGGTGCTGGCCCCATATGCCAGAGGTGGAGGGTTCAAACCCAGCCCCGGCCAAAAACCGCAAAAAAAATTTGGAAAAAAAAAAAACACGTTTGTTATTACCAAAAAAGACTTCTTTAGGTAAAAATAATAAAAACCCCATGCTGCACAGATAATGCAGATAGTTCTAGTTATCTGGTCAATAGGCAAAAAGCAAGCACTTAAGGTCTTCAGCTCCAATCTTTTGTTCATTTCTTATTGCTGGAATTTCATATTCGTTTCTTCTTGTTGGATGTAAACCGGGTGATGGTAGAGATGGTAAGCCCGCGTTTTACTGAGCCCTGCCCTGCCCAGCGTGGGAGCTGATGAATTCTCAGCTGGTGGATCGGCGGCTTTTGTCTCTTTGCCATCTTGTGGTTTAGGGTTTTCTGGGCGTCTACATCGGTAATTGAAGTTGCGTAGGTACCGACGTTGAGGCGGCTGCTGACCTTGGGTCTCACTCATCTCCTGGATTCTCTTTATCCTCTTCATTGCAGTCCTCTCTGGGCTGTCTTTGGCAGGGAGGGCCCTGCAGAATCTCGGTCTATAACCCGGATACATATTCTGTCTTACTGGTCTGCCTTGTGCTCCTGCACCCTGGTTATCAGCACCTCCATCACTTCTCCCTGCACAGGAGGGTTGGAATACTGTGGTCGCCGCCCATAGGGTCTCCTCATGTAGTAAGGTGGGAACCTTTGCCTGCGGCAGGGCCGATGTTGTTGGGCCTGGCCTTCAGGAGCTTTCTCCGACCCCTCATTCT